AAAACTCACTAAAAAATAATTGTTAATATATGTTTTTCAGAAAAACGTTGATGTTTTTAATTGCCTTGACCTTATGGATAACAAATTGTTCATCGAGGATCTTAAGTTCGGACCCGGTGATGGATACTTAAATTATTATATGTACAATTGGCGTTGCAAAGATATGGATAGTGGAAAAGTTGGTGTTGTCATGTTATAATAATTTAAATAAACGTTATGGATTTGTGGAATATTTATCCATAGTCACACAAATTGTAATCTATATGGGGTGGCGGACATAATTTTTTAATTTATTAAAAAGTGATTGGTATGTCTAAAAAAATTATCGTGTTCACTAAATGTTTATTCACATAATGTATCCACAACTAACTGAAAAAAGGACAATGCTTTTTTGGTACCGCCGCCTATTTCTAATGATGCTAATTGGTAACGTAGCATCATAACTTTAGATTTGGGATTTATCAATATGTATGTATATAAAAGATTTAAAAAAAAAAATTGAAAAATTTAAGAATGATGCTTTTAAAATACTGTATGTAGGGGTAGGATCTATAAACTTTAGATTATCTCAAATCGATAACACGACTTACATGATTGGGTTCTTTAACGTTAAAGGGACAGATAAGCAACATGTGGCAGCCAATTACGAGAAACGAGAATGAGTTAGACCAAGTAACACAATCTCATATCTCAAAGTTAATATTGTAAAGGCCAATCAGAATCGATTATTTGGGTTAAATCAGCCTAATACTTTGAACGCGACGATTATTTAAATTATTACAAAGGTGTTTGAACTCAAATATAAAACATAAAATTCAATGTTTGTTACGTAGCCATTGACCAATATAAATTAGATTATTAATATATAGGCTAAAAATTAAGCAAAAATTAAAATTTTGTATATTACAATTTAACAAGAACACAAAGTACAAATATAGAATAAACCACTTAACGATTAAGTTTTTTAAAAGCTTTAATTACTATAAGCTTTTTAATATTAAAAATAAATTACAATAATTTTTTTTTATAGCCACCTCTTCTATAGTCACAATCTTATATAATTACACAAAATTTTATTACTATTTTTTTTATGTTTAAAATATCTCATAATTAAAAATGGCTTATAATTACTATTATACTTTTTAGAAGCTTTTTAATAATTTTTTACTAGTACTGTAAAAATATATTTATACTGTTATAGAATAGGATTTAGAATAGCAATAGAATAGAACTTACTATTCTTATCATTCTTACTATTCTTACTATTCTTACCATTTTTACTATTCTTATTATTCTTACTATTCTTACTATTCTTACTGTTTTTACTATTCTTATCATTCTTACTATTCTTACCATTTCTACTATTCTTACTACTTTTATCATTTTTACCATTTCTACCTTTTTTTATATTTATATTATTATTATTTATATTATTTTTATATTTTTATTGTCTGTAA